GCCAACCTGCCCGGCCCAAATGGGGTGGAGCCACATGGGGGCAGGAGTGAGATGGGGTCAGCACAGCCCCCCCATGGGCTGCTCTCTTTGGCCCCCACTCCCTCCCTGCCCAATCCCGGCTGTTGTCCTGCGCCCATCCCCGGGGCGTCCCGGCGCCTTCCACGGATAATCCACAGCAAGACCAAATCCCAGCGGGCTCCCTGCCTCTCTGGGTCCCAGCTCAGCTCGGGGGCAGAGGGGGGTGGTCAGTGGAGGGGATGTGGGGCAGTGTCTGGGCTGGGGGCAGGAGGGGCAGTATTGGGGTAGAGGGGCCTGAGGCCAGGCCGGGACAGCGGGGGAAGTGGGGGGCAGGGTTGAGAGGGGGTTCAACAGGGATTAATGCACCTCACGCAGCATCTGCAGTGACGCTCGCCCAGCGCTGTGAGAACGGGCGGGTTGATTAGCTGCTTGGCCCGGGGAGCCCAGAGCCCAGAGCAGCATCTGGTGCAGCCAGCCCAATCCCCCAGCCGATGTCTCTGCTGGCCTTCGCTAGGCCCAGCCAAGAGCCCAGCCTCTCCCAGAGCCCCCCATTATTCCCTGCTGCCCCCCCCGGGCAGGGCCACGCTGAGGGTGCAGGCTCCTCGCTCTGGGCTGCGGGGTGGCGGTGTTCTGCCCATTGGGGGTTCCAAGGTCCTCTCGCATTTTTCCCCTCGTGGGTCGGCCACGACCAGGCCGTTCGGTGACCCATTGTCTGCGCAAACCAACAGCTCGCGGCTGCCCTGGGAGCAAATGGAACCCTTTCCCCCATGGGAGCCATGCAGAGCATGGAGGGAAACTGAGGCACATAGGGATATTAAATATTACAGAAAAGTCCCACTTTGTCGCAGATGGGCTGTCCCTGCCCTGGCTTGCAGAGTGAGTGTTTCCCCCTTGCTGGTCCCAGGCCTGGCCATGGAGCTGGGGGGTCTCCTCCAGGAGGAGGCGCAGCCTCCAGGCTCCCTCCCCGTGATGCTGACCCCTTAGCGAGGAGAAAGGAGCACCCCAAAGACACCCTGCAAGGTGGGGCTAGGGCCAGTGCAGGGCAGTGTCTGCAAGGGGCAGCAGAGGATGGAGGGGAGCTGGGGCAGGCACTGAGCCCCTGAGTGCTGTTCGCTCCCTGTATGGTGGAGGTCGGCGTTCCGGCTGGTAGGGGAGGAGTGGTCTCTGTGCATGCTGGGCTGGAGGAAAGGCCCCTGAGCCCCTTCCCGAGTGCCACGCTGTTGCGGATTGTGGGGGAGTCAGGGCCCTGCACCCCTCTTCCCGAGATTCACTGCGACTCTCAACCAGCCAGTAAAGCAGAAGGTTTATTTAAGGACAGGAACACAGTCTCAAGCAGAGCATGTAGGTACGACCAGACCCCCTCAATTAGGTCCCTCTGGGAGGTTCAGGGAGCTTAGACCCCAGCTTGGGGTTCCCTGCGTTGCACCACCCAGCCCCAACCGAAAACTAAACTCAAAACTCCTCCCGCTGCTCCTCTCCTTTGTTCAGTCTCCCGGGCAGAAGGTGTTAATTCTCCCCACCCCCGTTCCTGGCTCAGGTTACAGCTGTTATTCTTTCTTCTAAGGGACCCCCCACCTCAACAAGCTGGCCAGCTTGT